AATATATATATATATATACATTAATTTTACAGCCCACACTTCTTTAAAGATATAAAAATTTCTGCGTTGGCATTATTAAAAATGGTTATGCATGCTCGTTCTGGTGGCACTTTGGAAGTGATGGGTCTTCTTCTTGGAAAAGTAGCAGCAAATACAATGATTGTTATGGATTCTTTTGCATTACCTGTGGAAGGAACAGAAACAAGAGTTAATGCTCAAGCCCAAGCTTATGAATATATGTCCGCTTATGTAGAAGCTGCTAAGCAGGTGATTTTGATATTTCAGAAAATATTGAAAGTATTATTTTAAAAGAATATCAAATTTGAGAATCCATTCCTTTTGTATACAATATCTGTGCAACATTTGAGGTTCATTGAATCGAATGGTTTTAAAGTTCTATCCGATTTTTATTCTGGCTGTATGGTAAAATTAATGTTTATAATTTGTATCTGCAAGTTATGTTTATATTTTGCTGTTGAAAGGTTGGAAGACAAGAGAATGCAATTGGATGGTATCATAGTCATCCTGGATATGGTTGTTGGTTATCAGGTATCGATGTATCTACTCAGATGCTCAATCAAAATTTTCAAGAACCTTTTGTTGCTATTGTTATCGATCCTGTGAGGACAATATCTGCTGGAAAAGTTTGTTTGGGTGCATTTCGAACTTATCCAAAGGTAATATATTTGATATAGACGAATAAAAAAATCTTGTGAAAAGCAATAAGAAATTTAATGAACTATCTGATTCTTTTATAGGGATATAAGCCAGCAAATGAAGAACCATCGGAATACCAAACAATTCCATTAAACAAAATCGAAGATTTTGGAGTTCATTGCAAACAATATTATTCATTAGAAGTGTCTTACTTTAAATCATCATTAGATAGGCGATTATTAGATTCTTTGTGGAATAAATATTGGGTGAACACATTAAGTTCTTCCAGCCTTTTAACAAATGCGGACTACACAACGGGACAAATATTTGATTTATCGGACAAATTAGAACAGTCAGAAGTTGCACTTGGAAGAGGATTTATTTTAGGTGGAACGGATCCCCATGATCGATGTTCGGTAGAAAAACTAATTAAAGCAACAAGAGACAGTTGTAAGACAACAATTGAAATTATCCATGGTTTAATGGCACAAGTAATTAAAGACAGGTTATTCAATCAAGTTGGTTGTAAGAATACTGCTGATGTTCAACAGCAACAATGGTGAATTCTATGTATAAAGTATAAATACTATTAAAAATGTAAAGCTGCAGGTACTATACATGCATAGGTGTACTTATACCATAATTAGTTATTTGAAATTGAATGCTGTAGACTTTTTAATTGGATCAAATGTGTACCTGTTCACAAAATAAGCATATTTTGTTAATTTTAAATGAATGAACCTGCAATCTATTCATTAAATATATCATTCATTTATTAATTTCATAACAAATTATCTCATAAAACTTATAGAAATTGAATGTACCTCAATAATTTTCACAGCTCTCAATTTTAGAAATTTTGCCCCGGTTGCTCATGTAACATTTTCCGTATTTATATATTTTGAAAGAAACTGGACTATATCAGGACATTTTTCTTTTGCTAATTGTTCTACACTTAGCTGATTATTTGTCATTAACGTTAAGTCTGTGTACATTATCAAAAATTTGGAGACAGACACAGAACCCGCCGCAAGGGCTTTATGCAACGCAGTATATCCATCTATATCTTTTAAATTAGCATTTGCACCAAACTTTAATAAAAGTTTAACAATATCGATGTGACCTTGCATAGCTGCTCTATGCAAAGCAGCAGCATGTCCACACGGAGTTTGTGCATTTACTGCTGCACCATTTTCTAATAACATTTTACAAACTTCGTAATGTCCGTTTCGAGCCGCATAATGCAAAGCTGTGTATCCTGCAGAATCTACTACATTTGCTGAAACGCCCTTATTCATCAACGCCTTTACACGATCCAATTCATTATATTGTGCTGAAAATGATAGTTTTTTTTTTAAATAAATGTATATGTAACTAGGTGCAAAAAAATGTGTATAGTCTTAACAAAAATCTTAACAGGTACCTGCATACCAAATACCTCGTTCGAATTCCATTTCAACGAAAGATTGGCGAACATCAACATTTTTATTTGAATTGCAGCATACATTGTGATCACCTAGACCATGACTATGCTCCATTTGTTATGTTCTCTTTTTTTATCACTATAAACATGAATCGTGTTTGTCTATTACTTCACCGAAAACAGAAAATATAATTACGTAAATTAAAATCTTAAAGCTTAAACTAAAAGTGATAATTTGTAAAAATAGAATAAGAACTATGAGTAAATAATAATTTTGTGCAGTAGAGATCGTATATTTTCTTAATTACTATTTCTTGACAATATGCAAAAAGTTTTTTCTTTTTTAAACTATATATGTATGCTCGACTACAACCTGTAAGAATATCGAATTTGTTTATGAAAATAAAGCCGTTGCGCAAAATCGGCCTTTATATAATATTACATATATTTTACAATAAATAGAACATTTTTAAGTAGTTATTATAAATTCTTTTACGTTGACAAAACGTGACACTGCGCTGACAAATACTTTTTCATTAAAAATTAATAAATGCTAAATTCCTTCATCATGTTACGTAATATTAACAATAACTTTGATTCCATACATTGTATACCAATAAGAAGTATTATAAATTTATATTAATACAGTAACAATAATATTACGGAACATAACATATCTATCACAAAAAGCAATTGAATATTAAATGCTTTAATATATTGCAAAAGATTCCCACGAATCATAATTCTGCATTTGTAAGAGTATTTGATATATATATATTTTAAGAATGTATGATTACGACTTTATAGGTTTATACTATCTCCAGCAATTGCTTTTCATGGGACATTATCAACTGGATAACACGATAATTGTAGCAGACGACTTTAAAAATTAAGTATGCAAAGAATTTCAAAAAGACATACCCGTATAGCTAATCATTGCCATATTGTTTGTTAATGATTCCGTGATTCGTATTAAAATGGAATATACTATTCAATAATATTCAATTCGTATCGAAATAGCAACACAGAAATTGTTACAATCGACAACAATTTAAGTATAAAACGGTACAAAAGTTTTGGAATTTACCATTAAATGCTGTGTTTTAGGAATTTACAAAATCGGTAAAAATGTTCAATGTAGGTCTAATTATAGAATATACATATATGTATATTCGCTTGACAGAGGATACAGTCCAACCGATCGAGAATTGAAATCAATAGGAAGTGTTAGTAATAGTCATTCGAAAAAGAAAAGAAGTTTAGAAAAGCTCATTTAAATCGTTAAGTTTCCGAATACATATATAGACCATTTTGTTCGATTAGGTGATTTTTTGCGCACGTGCGTTGTGATTTCGGTTTTGGTCGGTCAGACTGTATCCCGTGTATTTGTAAAGGAAGATAAAAACGTCTTCATCAGAGCTCTGTAATGAAAAAGCGAACATACTGCTTCAAAAGTATGTGTGTCCATTGTATATGAATTTACAGTATTCGCGCGCGAATCATAAACTGTATATGTTGCACTGTCAAATGAAAGAAATTTTAAACAACCATTGGTTTTACAATTCTCTTTGCATCGTCCAGAGCGTATCAGATGTTCCTCCTCCTGTACAACTGATAACTCGATAACCTAACTCTGCCAGAGCGTTTATGATGGAAAAAGGCGCTCCTGAAAAATGTTCGTTTTTAAAATACGTATAAGAGAAGAATATATTGACAAATTAATAAAAAAAAAATACGATGTTCATTCGCGATAAAGATAGCTATAATCACGGCATAATGGCACCCCAATTTATTAATTAATAGAACTTGTGAAAAATTGTTAATTAACCTTTAATTACAACACCATTGCTCACACGCTCGGGATAATCAGAGTTTTTAAAACGCTTGGAAAGAGCCAAAATTTCGCATTCATTCAAGCCAAAAACAACAGAATCCTTCGCAAAAGGGGAGGCTTTTACTCCTATGTAATAGTAATTCTCGTCGTTTATTGCGTTGGCTAACGCTTTTCCGATTACTGCTTGCGCCATTGTCTCAGATTGTGATATTGTTCAGCTAAAAGGATCGCTAGAGTTCGTCGTCTTTTGCTGTTGAAAGGAAAATTCTAAGACTAAAATAGTGTCACACTACAATATCATACAGACTACGTATTATTAATTTCTCATAAAAGAAAAGTACCTGAACTCCTGCACGTTTATCTACCTCTCTAAACATACGCTCGTATTCCCACCATTTTACTGCGCATTCAATTTGCAGTGAATCGGTAGCCAATCAGAGCAAAGCAGTTTTTTGTTCTCATCATGTGTTAACAGCATATCAAGCTACGGCCCCAAAAACATGCAGGAGTTAGGTATTACTGTATTTCGTAACTATCTTGACTTGAAGAAAAAAAATTAACCAAAAGAGTGTTGTCTTTTTTAAACAAGTTATGATATTTAAATTCGGATTTTGCAACGGAATTCCTTATTAAAAAATACACAACATTGAATAGGTCGAATACGATTTGAATAATTTCTTTCGTCGTGCAGTTATATTACATACTACTTTAGTATGGAATCAAAACGGAATATAATAAATATGTAACCTAAATAATTGTAGAAGTTTAAACCAACTTCATATATAATTAGAGATATGTATTAGCACAGTATCAAATTTGTATGTGTTTCAGAAATGCCCAATAATTTAACAAAAAAATAATTTAGTTAACCAAAAATGATTAAATTTACCGAAATGGTGAAGTTACTGCAAAGCTATTTTCTTATGAATTTAAACTGGACTCTTATTTTAATCTAGTTTTGTTGTAATTTGTGATATGTATGTAGCCAAAAGGAATTAGAAAATGGCGCTTGGACTAGTATAAACAAATTCATATAACCTACACAAAGCATGTAAGAATTTTGTTGACATTCACAGCAAATAATGAATTGTCTATCGTTAAAAAACAAACGTAAACAAAATTTATAAAATTTACATAATTTATGTTACATAAAAAAACGAAATCGATTCAAATTTGATTACCCAAACAAAAATAAATCAATAAATTGGATAATTTGCTTTTTGTAAATTAATTACTAATTTTATATTCGATATATGTAAGTAAATAATATAAGTAATAATAATGTATAATAATTCATACCTGGCTGAATAACAGATTCGGGTTCTGGTTCAGAAAAATCTTTTCTCATAGTCCACATGTATTCATTATAGTCTTGTTTAACACTGGTGCTCGAACATGCAACAACTTTATAACCAAGCACCTCTAAAGCAGTTAATATTACACAAGGATGTTGCAGGTATACTATTGTTGAGTCATCACAGTATCCCCCAGATGCAAACCGAGTCAATTGTTCTATATCTGATGCTATAACATAATTTAATAAGATTATTTATTTTAAACATTCAATCACAATATTCCGAGCTTTGTGTAACTAAGTTTAAAAAGCGTAAAATTTATACAAATGAAGATTGAATCAAATTTTCGAGCGTTCATAACGCATGATGATGCACCTAACTAAAATCCGCAATCTACGTGATAACGTTTATCAATTTATCGCGAAAGAACGTTAGTAAATGTGTACGTCTATGCGATGACATGTATATGAACATTTAATAACGTAATTTAACTCAACTAATAGAAGTACTTCATTATATTTTTAAAGATTAATTTTATATAATAAAAAAATATGTAAATTTTAAGAATAATATGTGCAGAAAGCTTGATAATTACATGCATTGTTAGTAAACATTAACGTAAAAAATAAGAACATTGACAGATATATTTTAGTAATTCTAAATTATTATGTATCGTGTATAATTATAAATAAATGTTCTAAAATAAAAAAAATGTTCTAGATGAATAATGCAATAATATTTTGAAGACACATATGCTTAAAATTTATATTGTCATTTATTTTTTGTTATATCTTTTCTCATTTTGAAGAAAACTCAATCAGTTACTCATAAAAATTATCTTGTTATATGTATCAAATATATAATCATAAGTTCATCCATAAGCATATTTAATAAAGAGACATAAGATAGACTTACATTACGCATGTTAGCAACATAGAGGCATAAATAATAAAAAAGCTAAAACTTTCAAGA